AAGTTTAGACAGGTGATGCTTAGAATAAGTATCACAATGCAATGTCGGGATTGAAACCAGAGAGTGGGGGAGAGAAATCAGTATTTGAATGAACAAGGGTAAAGTGTATACATTCCAAAAGAACATTATACCAACAAACAACCAAGATTCAAAATGAAAGACCAGAAATCCCAACTGTTGGTTTTGAGCGGCATGACTCCGCTCACCCCCGGCTCTGGTCCTGAGGGAGCCGGGAGCTGCCTTTAGGCCCAGAGTCTGGGCCTGGAACACTGTGCTTTGGCTGGGAGAAGGCATGGAGTATGCACGCTCCTTTTGTCGCAGAGGGCACACAGTCTCTCCGTTCCTTTCCCCCTTGAACTCTTACTCTGTGGAAATTCACAAAGAAACGCCAACACTCAGGAGCGTCAGGGAAGTACGCCAGCAGCCTGAGCCAGGCAGAGTGCAGGCAGCACACTGGTGCTGCCCAAGCACTGTGCCACGCCGAGCCCGTCCCGCCAACACCAGGTGAGGAGAGGAAACGGTAGTCCAGCCTGAGGTGTGCTTGACCCTCTTAGAGCTTTGTAGGGGTCCGGGCTGAGTGTGTAGAATGAGTAAGGCAGCTGTGACCAGGCCCCAGGAATCAGCTCTGAATTTTGTGTTTGTGTGTGCACACACAGGGTCTCTTGATGGGCTTCACCAAGCAGGGCAGGCAGACTGTCAAGTGAACCCCAACATCTGCCCTCTTCCATTCCCCTGCACCGAGATCACAGGGTGTGTTCCCACACGTGACTACTTACGAGGGTGTTGGGGCTCCAGTTCGGGTCCTCAGGCTTACATTTTACCAGCTATGCCGTCTCCCCAGACCCATCTTTACTATTTTTTACACAGCATTGTTAAGTTTCCTCTTTCCTGATCTTAAAGTAAGAGTTTTACTAACGGGCTGAAGCCTAATGGGAAGGCAGCATCAGCACCACGTGAAGACAGGAGTGCGTCGTCTGGGTGTCCTGGAGCCAGCCTCGTCAGTTCAGGGCCAGCCCTCCGGTCTTCCTTAAAGCTGTGCGCTCTTCTGCCCCTGCGGTCTGCTACCCGAGCGTGGCACAGGCTCTGGTGAGGGGTCCCCTTTGGCTGCATCGTATCGTGGAGCAAATGTGCGCATAGCTCTCGCTTGTGTGGTCTTCCTCATAAGCCTAAAGGAGTCACTCTGGGAGCACACACTAATGACTCCATCAAATCTAATCACTTTGCACGACCCCAGCTCTGAATGCCACTCTTCATATGCTTAATACTTTTACCATGAGCCTGGGGATTAAAGTCCTGCATGAGTTTGTAGGAATGACCAATATTCAAAGCCTAACACGGAGTCTAGGCAGGAGCTGTGCCATAGACAGGCAAGCCAGGCATTGCCAGAGAGAGGCAGAGTCTGGAGAGGCTGGAGGGTGGGAATGGAAACACCCCGCAGGACAGGCGTCACTGTGGAATGGGCTAGGGGTCTTGTGCACGCTGCTTCTGCCCAGCTCCTCTGCCTCAGCAGGCTCTGTTGCAGTCTGGAAAGTGTTCTGCTGAGGGTAAAATCAGTCTCAGCCACCTGGCGAGTCTGCTCTCTACATCATTAGTAGCACAGCCACTTTCATGGTATTTTAAATGTACCATAGAGTTAAATCTAAAGTGGAGAATCAGAGCTAGATTTCCTAAGGACTAGCTTTTGAAGAGCTGAAAGTGAAAATTAACCATCTCTACAAACTGAAAGTACATAAAAAGATTATAGACTCAGAGTTAATGAGGAGCCAGGAACAGAGAAGACAGGCTGGGATTTGTCTTCAGTGTTTGCTAGCAAGGAGGCCCTGACCTGGTCGTGTGGCATTCTGGGAAGGGTGTGTGTTGCTTGTTCTGTACTCCAGGTTCTTGAACTGAAGTGACCTTGGTAACCTCACACTGTTACCTGAATTCTAAGGATATTGTTCTGGTTAGCCGTCAGCTTGACACAACTGGAATTGTCTGGGAAGAGAAGCCCAACGAAGGGATTTGGTAGGCCAGTTTGGCCTGTGGACGTGTCTGGGGGGGGATGTCCCCATCAATTACTAATTAATTATCAATTATTAATTAATAGTTATTAATTTAAATTAATAATTGATAGGGAGACCAGGCTCACTGTAGGGCCGCATTGCCTAGTCTAGAGGTCCTGACTGTGTGAGAGAGCTGACTGAGCGTGAGCCTCCCTTCCGGCCAGCGAGCCACACCAAGGTTTCTGTGTCACTCCTGTGCTGTGAGCCGAGTTCCCTGGGAGAGGCAAGGGTGTGCACAGCCTCGGGCCTGCCTCAGCTTCCTGCCCTGGCTTCCCCAGTGATGACGTGAAGCCTTTCCCTCTCTGATTTGCTTTTGGGTTTATCAGAGCATCAGAAAGGAAGCTAAGGCAGACAGTTTCTAACTTACAGCACAATTGACTGGCTCAGTTTTTTTCTTCTCTTGTTGATTTTTTTTTTGTCAATTTTGAGGGAGACTAAATATATAAACTGTATATGGACAGTATGTGCTCTGTCACATGTAACTTTGATCGGCAGCCGCCTGATTTGAAGGCTGTGAAAATGACCTTTATCCCATTTCTCCTGCAGAGTTTGGTGCTGCAGGTCATTACTAACAGAAGGAATTATCTGAGGAAACTGTTCACATTATATAGAATGTCTCGAGAGATTTCATCTCTGTATGTGGTGGTTAATAAGACAAAGGTTTTAATAAGGCCCCAGTGATGAATCTTTTGCTTTGCCCGCTCGCCATGTTGTAGTTCCTGATGGGGAACTTTATTTATGTTTGTGATGCTGTCTTGTTCTGTTCTAGTTATTAAACGTAATACACCCCCTTAAGTGTTTATGGGACTCATTAACGATGCAGCATGCGCTGTGGCGAGTTCCGCTTGGCCTCCTTTGTTTGTTAGCACATGTTCTTATGCACAGTAACAGGCTTCATTGCAGCATTTCCTATGTTAATCATGGATGTTAACACATTTGCTCCCATTACCCTTCCCTGCTCTCCTCCCTCTCTGCTCAACTCCCCACCTTGTACCCTTCTATTTTTGTGCAGTTTGGGTTTTGTTTTCCCCTTAGGGTTTCTTACAGGATCCTGGGTGAGGGGTTATTCACAGGGCGTGGGCGAGTCCCCTGTGGCTGCACCCCTGACGGAACCGCCTCTTCCTCCCCTAGCAACTCTTAGCTGCCCGGAGACCTGCTTTCTTTCTTAAGCTTTTTATTTGTTTTTGAAACAGAATCTCAGTCCGCAGCCCAGGCTAGCCTGGGATTGCGACCTCTTTCTACCTCTGTCTCCTGAGTGCTGGGATACAGCGTACACCCCTAAATGCAGTAACGTCCAAAATACTCTGCTGTGTCCTCGCTGAGACTCTCAAGCCCTTCTGTTGCATATAACACATGGAAACACAGTTCCAGCTAGGGCCACTTTTTCTTCTTTTTAAAAATTCTTTTTATTTAGATCAATTTTAGATTTAGATATCCTCGATCATGTTCTTGCCTCTCCCCGAGTTTGTCCAGATCCTCTCCTCCACAAAAACCCAAACTAACGCAACAGCCAAAGTCCCAAGGCCTAAAAACCAAAACACAACATCATGCAGAAGAAACAAAACAAACCCACCAAACTGTAAGCAAGTAAAAGCACATTAAGAAGTGGACTGTCCATTATTTGTTGGTCAGCACTCCCGAACATGAGCTCTGCCTCTGAGCAACTGACGGTCATTGCGTCAGGGAACACTGCCCTCTCCAGCAGCTGTAGATGGCGGTTCCACTGTTAGCCTCATTTACCCTATACCTGTGTTTGCTTTCATTCATTTTTAAAATGTAACAAGATAAAACAGAAACTACCGTATTCAAGTCAGATAAGACAGACCAACAGAAGGGAAAGAGCCTAAGAGCGGGAACAAGACTCTGAGATCCACTCTCACACACTCAGGGATCCCATGCAGACACCAAGCTGGAAGCCGGAGTGTAAGCCCAGAGGCCTGGTGCACACCCCTCAGGCCCTGTGCTGCTGCCCCAGCGCTGTGAGTTCACACAAGCTTTGCTCATGTCTTAGAGGGCCTCCTCTTGGTGCCCTCGTGCCCCTGGCTCTTACATTCCTTCTGCCTCCTCTTCTGTGGGGTTCCCTGAGCTCTGAGGGGAGGGCTTTATTTATTTTTTTTAAGTTAATAGAACCATTCAAGTTAACTTACACATTTTAATTACATGAAGATGAAGAAACGTCTTGACAAATATTGTGAAAAGGTCTTTTACCAATTTAGTGAGTTTTCATAATGTATTTAATATATATATATTTTTTTTAAAGAACTTTGCAGCTACTCCTGGTAACCCAGGCCTGTGATCACAGTGCTAGGGGAAGCCAAGGGAGGGCTGTTGGATGTCAAAGCCAGCCAGGGCTACAGAGAAAGAAACAAGACAGCACGCGCACGCACACGCACACACACACACACACACACACACACTCAGAGAGAGAGAGAGATCTTGTCTAAAAAACCCAAAGCAGCTCAAATAAAAATCTGCTTTAGTGTAATTTGAGAGGTGCCAAGAAACATACAGTTCAGCTGCCTCTTCCCCTGATACCCCTCAGTTTTACCCTCAGCACAGCATTTCCGGGATGCAGGACGTGGCTCCTGCTAGTGACCCTTTGGTCTCTTCTTTAGAGGGGTTTCCACTGTATCTCAGTGCCCAGTGTGGCCCGGCTGCTTTGCCCTCTCTACAGTCCTGAGGCCATGGGCACGGGGTGAGACAGGCTGAGCAGCAAAGTGGTCAGGCTTCCCAGACTGGTGGGCCGTGGTCACCACCAAATGTGCCCATTTCAAATGTCTCTGGAACAGGTGTGTATTGGGTACAGATGTGTGTGTGTGACAGGCCAGCACCTCTAGCTGTGGTTCAGCTCGGCTCTCTGATGTGTCCGCTCAGTCATCCCTGAGACCCTGAGGGTCAGATGGCGACTGAGGCACACGAGCAGAGATCCACATGTCCTCTCCCTGTTGTGTGTTTCAGAAGCTGGAGCACAAGGAAGTGTTGACTGGCTTGCTGTTCCTGGTGTTCCCGTTCATTCCAGCCAGCAACCTCTTCTTCAGGGTGGGCTTCGTGGTGGCCGAGAGAGTCCTGTACATGCCTAGGTAATTACCCTGACGCGTCATCCGAGCCAGAGCTCCAGAGAGACAAACCCTGTAAGGCAGTGGTGTCCTGAGCCCTGGTGTCGTTTCCTCAGAGGGGAGGAAGGGTGGAGAGGCCTGCCCTGCCCTGTGGCTGTGAGGAGGGAGGGCAGGCCTGCCCTGCCCTGTGGCTGTGAGGAGGGAGGGCAGGTCTGCCATGCCCTGTGGCTGTGAGGAGGGAGGACAAGCAGGTCTGCCATGCCCTGTGGCTGTGAGGAGGGAGGACAAGCAGGCCTGCCCTGCCCTGTGGCTGTGAGGAGGGAGGACAAGCAGGCCT